CACGCTGTGAGCTGGCACCGGGAGGGGGCGCGGGGAGGGGGGGGGGAAACCCCCCACCCCCAAACCATCAAAACCCAACGGGAGAAAAACCATAAAAAAACCCCAAAACCCTCCAGGAATCTCGGTCCGGGGCACCCGACGGAGATGGGAAACCGAGCGCCGGGGCGTGGGCTTGCCCCCTCCCACCCCGGCGTGGACTTGGGCGCGGCGGGAGTGCGCCGGGACCGCCCGGATTTGGGGATTCTCCGGGGAGGGATTTTTCCCCACCTTTGGGTTGAGGGGCAAGGGGTTGAGGAGCGAATCCGGTGCCCTCGGGACGCTGGGGCTGAGCCGCCGCGCCGGAGTGCTCGGCAGATCCGGACGTTTCTCCAGTCGCCCCTGGACTTTTCGGCTCGGCCCCAAACCCCCCTCGTAGCCCACAGGATGCCGGTGTGGACGTCTGAAGCTCATCTGATGTGGCCCAAGGCTCGGCCGGCACGGCCCCAGCTTGCCCAGGATGGTCCAGCGTGGCCCAGGGCTCGGCCCACACGCTGCGGTGCAGCCTGAGGCTCATCCGGCGTGGGCCGGCTTAGCCCAAGGCTTGGTTGGTGTGGCCCAAAGCTCACCCAACGTGGTCCACCATGGCCTAAAGCTCATCCAACATGGTCCAGCTTAGCCCCAGGCTCATCCAACGTGGTCCAGCTTAGCTCCAGGCTCATCCAACGTGGTCCAGCTTAGCTCCAGGCTTGTTTGGTGTGGCCCAGAGCTCATCCAACGTGGTCCAGCATGGCCTGAGGCTCATCCAGCGTGGTCCAGCTTAGCCCAAGGCTTGGTTGGTGTGGCCCAAAGCTCACCCAACATGGTCCAGCTTAGCCCAAGGCTTGGTTGGTGTGGGCCAAAGTTCATCCAACATGGCCCAGCTTAGCCCAAGGCTGGTCTGGTGTGGCCCAAAGTTCATCCAACATGGCCCAGTTTAGCCCCAGGCTTACCCAGCGTGGTCCAGCTTAGTCCAAGGCTTGGTTGGTGTGGCCCGAAGCTCGTCCAACATGGCCTGAGGCTCATCCGATGTGGTCCAGCTTAGCTCAAAGCTCATCCAACGTGGTCCAGCTTAGCCCAGAGTTGGTCTGGTGTGGCCTGAGGCTCATCCAGTGTGGAAAAAAACATGGCCCAAGGCTCATTTGCATGGTCCGGCTTAGCTCATGGCTCATCCAACGTGGTCCAGCTTAGCCCAGAGTTGGTCTGGTGTGGCCTGAGGCTCATCCAGTGTGGAAAAAAACATGGCCCAAGGCTCATTTGCATGGTCCGGCTTAGCTCATGGCTCATCCAACGTGGTCCAGCTTAGCCCAGAGCTGGTCTGGTGTGGCCCAAAGCTCATCCAGTGTGGTCCAGCACAGCCTGAGGGTCATCCACATGGTCTAGGTTAGCCCAAGGCTTCTCCATCATGGTCTGGTATGGCCCAAGGCTCATCCATCGTGGTCCAAGGCTCATCCATCATGGTCTGGTATAGCCCAAGGCTTCCCCATCGTGGTCCATCGTGGCCCAAGGCTCATCCATCCATGGTCCAAGGCTCATCCATCATGGTCTGGTATGGCCCAAGGCTCATCCATCATGGTCCAGCTTAGCCCAAGGCTCATCCAGCGTGGTCCAGTGTGGTCCAAGGCTCATCCAGTGTGGTCCAAGGCTCATCCAGCGTGGTCC